ATATATATATATATATATATATATATATATATATATGCGTATAACAGATACACATGGTTTGCTACTAAAGGGCTTTGATTTCGCTTCAGTTTGCGAACATATATCGTCGGACGGAAAGAGAAAGAGAGAGATTCGCTACTTTGGAAATATTCAATACAGCTCCTGTCAGATAGGTTGCGGACTCAATATGCCGACGGCCCATTTGCAGCCAGCATGCGCGAGACGTATAGTTTTCCTTTCAACTAGAAATAATTTAATAAATGCAGATTTTCTGTGTTAGCGACGGAAAAGTAATATTTACGTTCATTCGCACTGTTGAATTAGATTCGTTGTTATTCTTAAATATTCAGTTGTTCGTAATTGAAGAATCGTCGATGTCTCGATATTAAAGCGACGCGTGATTGTAACATTCGGAAAGAAATGTAGCACTGCAAAATGTAGTACTGCACATATAATTATGACAAAAATTAAATTATTTAAGAAACTACACGAAACATCATATTCGCAATTTATATAATTATATTCAATTATAATTGTAACGTACGGAATAAAAATAAAATATATATTTCTGTTATTAAAATATATGTTATTAAAATATATCACCAGAATGCAAAAAATGTAATTATTCTTTTTGAATGAATTAAAATGCTTCGCTTGAAAGTATGAACGATATTTCGGTAAATAAGCGATGCGCTCGTGAATGGTTTTGATGGAGCGTAATGAAACGCAACTTCGTTTTTTACGTGTGAATGACTTCTTGCTCAAATAAATTCGGCGAAACGCTCGAGATCTGCGGAGTTAAAAATAACTTAGAATTGTAATGATGCTTTTGTCGGTGACGAAGGCTATTGAACTGTTGTTCAATAACTGTTCAACAACAGCCTTAACTGTTGCTTCGTCTCGAGTCAAGTCGTTTGTGCTTTCTTACGTAATATCGGAAGATACGAACGAAATAGCTATTCGAATCGGAATAAAATGGGACAAAATGGAAAGAAAAAGAGAAACAAACTTTCGTTTTCAGTATAATATTGTTTAAACTCTTTCCATAAATAAATCTAATAACTGCGATCACAAATGCCCGCTCACGCGATACGTGAGATATAAATTGCACGACACAATGTATTGATTGGTGTTGCCGACGTCCCGTTTCGCCCAGAAAGTTATAGGTATTCGTGTCCGCAAAATTCGTTTCTCGAGAAAATAAACGATCACATTTTACACGAAGGCGAGCTTAATTGAATTTAATCTACAACTTTATTTCGGCGAAAGTGTTTCTGATGACGACATGGCAAATTATTTTTCCATAGGCTAATTTCTATCGCCGGGAAATCATATTTTCTACCGTGTACTTCCGCTTTCAATCGCATCTTTTTCGTCCTTAAAGCCGACCGACTGTTACAGATTACAGGACCGTTCGTGAGAATCGCGAAAAAATAATGCTGTTCATAAGAATATGATAAGAATGTCACACTGTATTTACATATCGCAAGGCCGCGATTGCGAGTATATGCATATTATCGAAACATCAATCAAGCGTTAATCGACTATAGCGCAATAATGTCCGTGCTCAATAATCCTAACTATAAATAGTTTAATGCTGCGCATTCCTGAATGCATTAAACCGTGGCCGTATCAGTACCCTTTTCGGTAAATATGAACTCATAATTAAAATGTTTATGTGTATTCCTTATGATAAACATTCGTAATAGAATAAAACGACATCACGTTTGGTTGTATAATTCATAATGATTGTGATCGATTATGCATACATATAATTATGCCTTTCGTGACATATTGCACGTAAATAAACTTGGCGCGCTTAATTGAGCAGTGTAGATTAACAGAATAAAGACAAATAGAATAAAATAAAGACAACAAGTAATCTATGAACCGCTATGAAATGGCTTGTCCCTTTCTTACATTTCGTTAGTCTTATTTTTATATTTTGTTTCTATTAAAAGCTCACAGAGGTAAACTTGAATTATGACATTTATATATCAACGTGTGTACACATTTTACTTCATATTTCATATTACTATATAATATTTTAAATATGCGTAAAGTGAATTTTACCTGGCTTAACCTAATATAACCTATCAAAAATTGGTGAAATTATTCAGTTTATACACATAACAGCACAATTTTAGTATTTTCCAATCGCACGAAATATCAATATTGGATTTAGTAAACTTGTTTTTCACACTAATAAATAAGAGAAATAAGTATTATGCATAATATAATAACGTACCAAGGAATGTTTTTCTCGTTTAAAAGCCCTAGTGAATTAATTTAAATGAAAACATTTCTCTTATCTGCATATATGTGTACCAAATTTTTAATTTTTAATATTAAATATCTTCATGATTAACACAAAAATCGGCTATGTAAACTTTTTATAATTTAAACTAATTTAGTTTAACAATTTTTTTTTCTCTTTGCTGTGTAATTTATAATATTTTATATAGTTTACACTGCCTACACGTGAAAAAAAAATCCGTATAAATATCATGTAGACAATACGTAAATTACTATTGTAGATCGTAATCTTAAAATTTGTGGCATAATCTTGTTAAAAACGACCGAGAAATTAACTTTATACGCGACAACAGGATCGAAGGCGAGTCGATAAGATCGTCGCAGTATCTCATGTTTTTGTGATCCGACATACTTCTAGAATTTCGGCATCGACATACGATTTAATCAACGTGGTTTAAATCCCGACCTAGTTAAGCTTAAATTTAAGATAAAACAGCCACGCGCGTGACGTATCCGTCAAACTCGTCTTCCTCCATTTGTCTTATCGTATCTTCGGCAGCCACGAACCGCCCCGTGGGAGCCAAGATAACCCAACCGCTTTTGGAAGGTCTGTTATCCGTTGTTTTGTGCACAGCTATTAATAAGCACCATTCGGTTGGAAGCACGATCCACCAAGCAACCGCGGGCGTGCGCGATCCACACTGTTCGCTTATGTAGCTCGTTCTCTTTTTCCATAAATCGAACCTCGCAGAACTTACCGAAGAGTATCCGGACTTCGGTTTAGACCGAGACTTTGACTCTCACTGCGTTAATTACTACACATACACTCGTTATTCTCCTCCATTATTCTCCGCTCGAAACTCCACGCGAGATGTTCGATTCGCATATACGTTTGGCATGCAGACAGTGCAAAAGCACTTAATCCCGAGACTTACGATCTCGCGAAAACCACCTCTGTCTTTCCTTTGTGCCGGAACAATTTGAACACGCTAATAAATAGAAAACTGTACAAACTCCGACAAACGAATACTGAGACCTTAAGAATTCTGTAATATTTTATGGTAGAGAACAAAGTCTAGAATCTCTCTCACTCTCTCTCTCTCTCTCTCTCTCTCTCTCTCTCTTAGGAATTTGGTATTAAATCAGTACGAAAGAGCTTCAATTCTTAATCCTTCCTCTGCACAGTGCTTTGAAAGTAAAAAATTTTTGGCCAAAATTTTGAACTCAATTTTCTTATGAATAATTTTTTCTAAACGATACGTCATTTCTTCTTTTACGATATTTTTGAATACAAAGAATTTTACATAATTCAGTTGA